AGAGAGAGAAATTGAAAATTGAAAAACTTAGGGTTTGGCTGGCAAATGTCGCAACAGAGCACTCAGCACTGTAAATCTGTAATTGCATTTTTTTTTTTTTAAATTTTTTTTTTTTTTTAAAATTTTTTTTTTTGAAAATGGGGGGACAAGTGTCCCCACATGTCCCCTTCTAGCTCCGCCCATGGTTAAGGAAGTAAGGATTAATAAGAACATTAAGGAACATATGTGTCAAAAAAAAAAAAAAAAAAAAAAAGAACATTAAGGAACATAGCCACATATAGGGTATGTATAAATTACTTGGTAGCTTTGTTGTATTTGATATTATTTATTTATTATTTATATTTTGTGGGCAAATATTAGAATACTTGTAACACAACTCCTTGGCACGCGCTGGGAAAGATTAGATTTGAATCCATATGATAGGCAAAGACTTTAATCATCAACATATAACTTAAACACTGGCAATAAGCTTGGACTATTAAGATTTTAAATTAAATAATTAATATATACAGAAATTTTAATCAACATTACAACACACATATATATCTTAAAACATTGGCAGTAAGCTAGCTTGGACTATTAAGATTTTAAACTTAACTAAATAATAATACATCTATCTTTCATATTCTTCCTTAATCTCAATCATCGTGCTAATTAAGAGATTGAGTTACAAGTATATTAAGAAACATAGGAATAAAGGGTGTATTAGTGCTTGAATATTAATTATGTAAATATTTAATTTTATTTGCAATTAAAAGTTAAATCAAGAAGATGAATGTATAGTAGCTAAAATGATGTGGACCAATACATTTGAGAGGTATAAAAAATGGAACACAATAGTGGGATAGAGGATTTAGACCCACAACAGCAGCAACATATATATACTCTTATTATATACATTTTTGTGCAAGGTGCATGCTTAATTTTGGAATATAGGATTGATTTAATTGGTCTATCTTTTTTTTGTTATATATATATATATTTCACTCTAAGATACTCTCTGTTTTGCTAAATTCTACTCACTTGCATTTTATGCGGTTTCTAATGCGCACTATTATGATAATTAATTTCTGTAATGATGCATTAATAAAAAAATTATACAAAATTGATATATTGAAAATTATTCATAACAATATGAATCTAATAAAATCTAATTTGATATTGTTTTTTCTCATATATTCATAATTAGACATGATTAAAATTTTAAAACTTTAACCTTATAAATAGTAAGTAAATGGGTAGAATTCAGAAAAACTACGGAGGTAGTATAAGTAAACTAAAGTATAACAATGTATAACCTAATTTTACCCTATTATGTAGGAATCTCCCCAAAAAGTTAGGATTTGTTCATATCATTTATGTACTCTGCATTCAATTATTAATTATTTTTTAAGAAAAACTAAAAACTACACAGAGTTAAAATGAAATTAAAATACAATAACGTCACGAACTTCTTGGTTATCTTTACACATGTATTATGATTCTAATGAGTTATGAATGAGAATGACGACAACACAAATTTAAAATGTCCACAAAGCCAAAGGACAAGTGGTCGATACGGAATACTACTTGTAGTACTTAATTGTACCAGTGTATCACAAAGGACAGTTCTCCTTTAATGAGTTACTTCACTTACTTGATATATATAACATTCAATCATTGTATTGTTTTTCACTATCTTATTTTCCTTATTAATTAATCGTGGTATACGTAAAGTCACGCCGCTAAACATAACCTTCTTTCAGAAATGGGGGTGCAATAGTTAAGAAACGCCCTAGCTTAGCTGCATTAATTGTAACAATTAAATTAAATGATGTACTTAAATGATGGAGAAAACAAGAGTTGGCTGGCGGAAAAAACCAGAATTGAACACACAATAACACTGAATACCAAACATAAAAAGCCATTGATTTGGAGTAGGGCCCTCGTCATTTAATTAAATTATGAATTGCATGCAATCGATCTGATGAGAAGAACGAAGCGCACGTACAAATCAGACCAATCACTGACTACGTACAGATCAGATCACAGCTATAGATTAGGATGCCACTCAAGTATATAAATTACTTGTATGAGAAACTTCTGATAACTCATGACTGATGAGTTGTAATGCTGCATTATGCCATTATATCACTCAATGCATGCATAACTTTCATATATAATTCTGATCGAGGTATGTAGTAATTTTATGAGGTGATATTTTAATTTGAAGTGATTAAATTACTTATTTTATGCAACCCATGCATTTAGCTAGGGTCTATTTAAGTTAGGATAAGACCTTGTTCTCTTGAGTTGTTCTGCTCTGCTCTGCAATGTTGGAAGCTCAGCTCTGCTTTGCTCTGCAATGTTGGAAGCTCTGTTGTGCTCAAATCTTCTCTGCTCTGCTGATCCCTACTCTGCTCTGCCCACAAGCCCAAAATAACAAAGTCTAAGCTTAGACAAAACGCATACTAACATTATTATAGTGAAAATATTATAAGTTTAAATAAGTGAATGGTTCGAATTTCAGGTCATATAATATCAGATTCAGCAGACAAAATATGTTGAAACCAAACAAAGGCGCTTAATTACCTATATTTTCAATTCATCCATACTTATCATTTGAAAAAAGATTTTACGTACGTATTGCTTTTATAGAAGTACGTGTAAGGAGATAGGAGATAGAGTTTTATCCAACAAAAAATACTACTCCATAATACATTATGGAGAATAGTACTCGTATTTGCAATGAAAGGAGAATATGAAAGGGTCATGTGGCAAAGCCATGTATGTATTAATGTATGAAATTATGGATAAGAAAGTGATATATGGCAAAGAAAACACATCATTTGACAAAGTTCAGACTAACTGCCTATATATGTATGCACATTTAGGCCTTACTTTTTCTAAAATGAAACATGGATTTGACCTACCATGTTGTTTATGATGATCACAGTACAAAGTCCGGACGTACACATTACATATTTGATTCCTTTTACGCATGAACATTTATTAACTAGCTGGTATCTATAACCCTAATTCTTACTCCAATTCTTTATTTGGAGTTATTTGTAAATTGGACACTTAGAATTAGTTAGTTAGGTGCCTCAACCGCTCAGCAACAACCCAAAAAATTAAATTAAGGCAATTAACTTCAAATTAAGAGAGTAACTTACCCTAATTAAGATGTATTCTAATACACGTAGCCACATTAGATGAATCTTATTATCTTATGAGTTTTCAGTAAGCTAATGGCCGGTTGTATATGTAGTAGCGTTTTATTAGCTTTTGATGGTACTCCCTAAGCTAGCTACTAATTATGTATACTCGTACTTGGCTACTTGCTATTCCGTAGAAGTTAATGATCGAAGTAGCAATTCAATATTAGTGTTCAAAATGATTAGCTTAATCGCTAGATCAGATTTTAAAAAATAAATATATGGACCGTTCTTATTAGAAAATTGATGATTGTAATTTCGTTATTAATTTTCTTAAGGGAGGTAAAAAGTATGATGCCTAAATAAAATCCAAGATATAACTTTTGTTTTTTTGTTAGATAGAGGAAGATAGATTATCTCATAGTTTGAAAGTTTTGTAGCCAAGAAAAAAAGACTGTTTTACTCGTAACTTGGTAACTTTTGTGTAACAGGCTATACTCTAAATAGTAAATTTGGCATCTTTCAATTTTAACACCAACTGTATACTTTAAAGTTGATTTTTACCATTACTTGACTGAACATCAATCAGGCAGCAATAATACTAGGTTCTCAAAACCTAGCTTACTGGTGCCATTACCTTACTAACTGTAGATCATATAATTTCAAATACTACGTAATTTAATCAGCTAAATTAAGATAAGTTTATACAGAATATAACTTTAGAATTCAAACAAATTCAGGCGAAAATAGCTAGCTAGGTTTAATTGTTTAAATAAACAAAATTCGCATAGCATAATAAGATAAACTTAGACAATTTAAGTCGAATAGGACATACCCAAAGCCCAAGAGCTAGCCCTTTTCAAATTATTTGCAAGTACTGTAGTTAGTAGTGTTTTGATCTAATAATCAAAATAGGTGTTGATGTATTTGTGTGAACTAATCTTAGCTTAACTTAAATCCAAACATTTTTTTTTGTTTGAACCCACATGAACTTATTACCTACTCCAAATTATCTGTCTGAAATTGTTTGAAAGTATCTATACTAATTTCGTCTAAAATTTTTTAAGCCTGTCTAATTTTTTAAAAATAAGTCGAACAAAACAAAGTTGGCCTAAAAGTTACTTCAAAAGTTACTACTTAATACACCAAAGTCTTCAATGTAATCACATAAGTATTGTTTAATAGATTGTTCATACAAATATACACATGAAGCCTAGGTGAGCTAGGTCATAATTCGTGTTTCATTGAATACACCTCAATTCAACTAAAAATCACCTCAAATCATACAAACGTCAAAAATCACTATAGGTTAACTACTTGTAACCCAATGGTAGCCAACTAGCTTATTTGATAAAGTTTTTGAGTTGGTACCCAAGACCTGACTTGGGATCAAATATCTTCTATTTATATCGCTGCCCTAGCAACTCTCTTTACAACAAAAAATATACTACTTATAACCCAATATGACATCATTTATGAAACTTTGGGCGACTAAGCTCGTTGTATAAACAAGCTTAATTAGGATCACAAATTAGGAAATTAAGAGATCGAATATCCAAGATCCACAAACACAAACAAGTAGAAGAGCGAAGCAACTTAAGAGTGAGTGCCTGATTGTATACTGATTACTAAGAGTGGGGTGTTGTATTCTTGTATAGTGTATAGTAGGACAACCATTGCGAAAAAGACGTTACATAAGCTAAGAAGAAAGCTAAGGGTTTTCCTTCACATGCAACGGTCTCCCTCTTTAATATCACGTCCTTTGTCGTTTCTTCCGCCGTGTCTTTCTTGCCTTAGCCCTTTTCTTCCATTGCTTTCTTATCATCATTAATACTTTCAATTTCTCCTATAAATACCTACCTAATTTAGACCATTTTACACAAAAAAAAAAAAAAAAAAGTGCAACCTTAAGCCTTAATATTTGACCAAAAAACCAACATTGTTCAAACATAATATTATATAATTTCCTACTTCTATATAATATACTAAGCTTGTTCTATATGGCATACTCTAAGCTCATTTCTAAGAAAAACAAGATGATCAACCTTAAATTAGTCATGGAGAAGTTGCAAAGGAGTTTCTTCCTAGGAAAGAGGCTTTCGATGTCCGATGTTGATGAGCTCCAAGATCAACATGATCATGAGGAGGAGGTATGTCACTCTGGAGGTGACTCAAACACGGTGCCTGAGGATGTGAAGGAAGGACATTTTGTCGCGGTGGCTGTTGATGGAGGGGATGTGAAGCGGTTCGTTGTGCCTCTAAGGTACTTAACACACCCTATGTTTCTAGCATTGTTGGAAAAGGCAGCTGAGGAGTATGGGTTCGATCATGGTGGTGCACTTACCATACCTTGTAAGCCAAGTGTGATTGAGAAAATATTGGCTGATAGATGGGATGGAGGTAGACGATCTAGTTCTAGGAGAAGGTCTAATAATTATAAGAGAAATTTCAATATTTTGGTTCAAAGCTATTAGATTAATTAATTACTTAGCTTGTATTATGTGAAATGGGTATATATCAATGCATGTAATGCTTTTCTCCCCTTTAAAGTCTCAAGGTTTTTTGAGGGGTTGTTCTAATTATATACTTATCTTGCTAATTATGATATTATTATTAATATAATAATCTTATGTTTGACTAAATAATAAACGTCTTAACATAAAATAAAATTAAAAAAAATACTACCTCCATTTTCCTATTATTTATGACAAAAAAAATATTTTATGCCTTATAAATAATACCTCTTTGTTGTAAATAATAAGAAACAGAAGTGGTATTTGTTAGGAATATATATAAGTGCCACGCACAAACGATCTGGGACCTATCCCGCAAATATAATACAACACAAACAACAAATTTAGATAACAAATTTTTATATGTGGCTGGCCACACTGTGTGGCCGAGGTTACGCATAATATAGGAGTTACTTATTCAGGGGTTACTCGTTTGGTCAGAGGTTACTTATTCAGGGGTTACTCGTTTTGTTAGGGGTTACTTATTTAAGGATTACTCGGTCAATCAGGGGTTATTCTCACACAAAAAAACGCGCTAACCAACTGAGTAAATTTAGAATAAGTAACCCCTGACTGACTGAGTAACAGCTAAATAAGTAACCCGGAAATAAATAACCCCGGTAAAAACGCAATAACCGACTGAGTAACCCCAGAATAAGTAACTTTTGACCGACTGAATAACTTCTAAATAAGTAACCCATGAATAAGTAACCCTGGATAAGTAACCCGGGCCACACAAAAAAAAAACATCGAATTTAGAAGTAGTAGAGATAGGTATTTATGAGGAAATTTTTCCTCAACATTATTTTGTATAATCAAGTTTATCTTCATTTTAAATAACAAAATAACTCTCTCAATGATTCCAATCACCAGTTATTGATTACTCCTCCTTTATTTGCTCAAACATATCACAAGTTTAATCAATTAATACTTGATGTGGTCGCTTTATTAATACTTGATGTGGTCGCTTTAACATTAAAAACACCTAATTAAACCAAATTTTAGTATAATTCGCAATATATGTTTAGTTGAAAATTTCCTTCAGCTCTGCATGTCGGCCTTAAAAATGCTAGAAAAAGACAAGATTTCTACTTATATAAATTTATTTTTTTTTCCTAATTGATCTTGTCAAAACCTATACAGAGTAAAAATTTGGATGTCAGTTGCACCTAATTAACAATGAAAAGGTTAAGTTGGTGGTTGAAGCCCGGATTAATTTATATATTCTATTACGGTCATTACCCTCATATGAGAGCCCTTTAGGTTTAAAGTACAACCAAAAGGTTAAGTTGGTGGTTGAAGTCCGGATCGATTTATATATTCTATCACGCCCTATTACCCTCACATGAGAGCTCTTTGAGCTTAAAGTGTGAATGCGGCACAGATCCCTTCATACCCAATAGTGCAAAATATTTCACTTGAAAGTGGAGGTGGATGAGATTTGAAACCGTTACTTTTGTGTCCCACCGGCTCTGATACCATGTTAAAGTACCAATTCAACCAAAAACTTAAACTGATGGTTGAAACTCATTATCAATTTATTTACTTTATCATGATTAATACAAAGTTAAACTTGATACACATGTCATTGCACTACTTTGACTTTAAGTATATATGACTAAATATTAATATAAATTACGGAGTATTAAAAAGTTGATATTTGGACCTTTATATTAAGACATACTTTACAATATATTTCATGTACGCCATTTTTCTGTTATATATTACTAAAAAAACAATGGTCAAAGTTAATTTTTGAACTGTGAAAAAAGTTCAATATATCAATTATTTAGAAAAGGAGGAAGCATTTTTAAGTTATTTGATGTATGTGTACTCATTTTGTGCCAAAATTTTATCAAATGTGAAAATAATTAAAGTGATCAAGCCAAAGGTAAACAAAACAAAGTCTACTATACGCCATGTGCCCATGTATATATAGAGTGTAGATAGAAGGATTCAATTGGTAAGCATTATGTTTCAAAAAAATAAAATAAAATTGGTAAGCATTATGTTTCAAAAAAAATAAAATAAAATTGGTAAGCATTAGGATTAGTAAGGGAAAGGAAAGGAATAATTTTAAATGAAAATTAATTTCTTTTCGTTGGTTCTTAATATCATTTCTTTTATTTTCTTTTCTTCTTGTCAAATTTCTACTAATTATACTACCTTCATTTCTGAAAGTTCGATTCACTTATTATTCATGTGGTCAAAATAAAATAATTTTGGTCACATTTTATGAGCTATACAATATAAATAAATTAGCATGTAAGATCAGATTAGATTCCCCTTATTATTAATGATCCAAATATCAACTTAATACAAATTTCATTTATACACAACCGGAGTTATTCATGACCAAAAATGTTTATTGGAGACCGCACAATTATAAAGTGAGTCGTATTTTCAAGAATGGAGGGAATATATAAAACCAAGGTTTATTTCAAACTAGATCCTATAGTTTTAGCTATAATTAGAATTTATAACGGTGTTATGTTTCCTCTTAAAACTCTAGCTAATAGCTAGTGCCAATCAATGATCACTTTAGCATCTGATTTCTGGAGTCCATCATGTACCCCAATGGGTGATCGACAAACAACAAAGAAAATAGTCAAATACAATGTAATGTCATCTCAAAATTGATTTTTCACAAGCTGAAAAAGACACTTGCAAAATTGAATTTGCTAAACATTTTGGAAATCTCTAAATAAATTATTTAGTATTTTTATTGCAAAAAGGGGTGCTACTATCGTCGTTTGGTAGATTAAGGCCAAAACATATAAGACTTTGTTCGATTTATTCCATTTATTTCAAAAAAAAAAATATGTTCTAGAATAAGTCTCTGTTTTTTTCATCATATTTTTGCCGAATTGAAATTATTTTTACTAAACTTAAATTAAATCTATTGAACTGAAATTAATTTACTAATTAAAATTATTTTTATTGAACTGAAACTATTTTTTTTTACTAATTTTCTATTATATTTCTTCTTTGGCGTTACTATTTTTACTAAACTGAAATTATTTTTACTAAATATTATTTCTTTTAACGTGAAGAGAACATAATCTAAATTTAGACTAAGGGTGTGTTCACCTAATTTTCACTTACATATCTGAACTTATCTTATTAGATATTTCGTATTATCTAAACTTATTAGATCTTATTAAAACTTATTTTAGTTGTAAGTAGTATTTGAGTAACCCTTACATGAACTTATTTTTTTTCATGAACTAAACTAATCTTACCAGAATTTATTACACCTAAAATAAGTGAAACAAGATGAACATAATTAAGAAGCCCTAAATACATTTAGATAAGTTTTAATAAGGTTACGTTAAAAAGGAATGCTCAAGTTCAATATATAACTAAAATTAGGCTCTAATAACCTTTAATAAGTTTAGTTAATTAGGTGAAAATTAAATAACCTAGGTGAATATAATACACCATCAAATTCCAAAATCTTTTTGTAAAGATCTGTCCTTGGCTACCTTGATCAGATAGGAAATTTTTAATTATAACACAAATATTTCTTAATAAGAAATGAAATATCATCATTAATTTATCTCCGTGCAACATCTACAACAACAATTATCACTAGGTTAAAGATGATCTAAAACATGTAATTAAAATGAAACCCACTTAGTATTACATGTTTTATTTAATTATCATGAATGTTTTGATGCCGCTTCTATGTTATAGTGATATTAATGTCTTATGTTATACTCCCTCCGTCCCCGAAATTTTGATTTTTTTGGGCATTTTTTATGGGTATTAAGAAACTTAAATGAGAAGTAGTAAAAGTACATTGAAAAGGTTAATTTATATGTGGTTTACAAAAAAGTAAATAGAGAAATATATACAAGTACATGGAAAAAACAAAATTGACATGAAAAAATACTAATTTTGCACAAATATTTTGCAAATTGAAGGGTATTTTAATTTGATGCAAATGGGAGGATCATTTTGGGATTAAATTTTAGTCATAAGGATCGAAGTTTCAAGAACGAAGGGAGTACAAAGCAATTGGAATCTTATTTCGTCTAGATGTTTTAGATTTTCAGCTAATTTAATTATAAAATATTTCTCTTTATAATTATGAAATCTATAATTCAAGGATTAATTAAAACTAGCTATGGGTTCGTTTGACATCGTTGTGGTTTTCTGTTTTTTGGTTTTTTGTTTTTCAAAATCATAAGATTTATATCATATCATGAATCAAAAATTAATCAAACTTATTAAAATCATGATAATTTTGAAAACTAACAACAAAAAAGTGAAAACACCTTTTCCTTGTTTCCTGTTTTTGGTTTTAAAAAAAAAAATACTACCTCCGTTTCATATTTTTTGGAACTTTAGGGTATTATTTGTAAGACATAAAATATTTCAAAGTTACAAAAAAATATGAAACGGATGTAGTAGAAAACTGAAAACAAAAAACGATGCCATAAGTAACTAGGCTAGGGTTTTGCATGTTCTAATATCTGAACTAATGCTATTCGAACAAAAATAATTTTTTCTCACAATTCTAAACAAAATAAGTATTATTTTAAACAAATTTAAGATAGCACAGGCTTTTTGGAACAACAAAATGTTAAAACAAACCCTAATAAGTTAGGATAAGTTGAAATTTGTTCAACTAATAAAAACCTAAATTGAAGTAGAAAAAGTAATTTACTTTTTGCGGATAATTCACATACAAATAGGGTTATTTCGGACAAAATAAAAATGAAAAAATTGCCAAATATAATATAACCTTTGGCCAGTACTTTTTAAATGATACAATATTTGGATTATTTTGTAATAATACAACTTTTAGAGGATGTTCATTTTAAACAAGACAAAATCGAATTTTCGGTGGATTTTGAGGTTAGGAAAGGGGAGAGGATGGGTTTTTGGTGGTGGGGATGGAGAAGGGGGGGAATATCCCCTCCCCTTCTCCCACCGAAAATTCGATTTTGTCTTGTTTAAAATGAACACCCCCTAAAGGTTGTATTATTACAAAATAATCAAATGCTTGTATTATTAAAAAAGAATGGGTCAAAGGTTGTATTATTTTTGACAATTTTTCCAAT